ATCAGCGCCGACCTTTAGCTGGGCGCACGTCAGTGAGCCGCGCGGAGCGCTCACGCACATAAGGCGCGTGGTTTACTGACTTGCGTTCGGCTAAAGGGCGGCGCTGATTGGCTTGATTTATTCAATAATTACTTCATTATATGTAATAGAATAAAATAGTTCAGGACTTTTCGACTCAGTTTTACTCTTTCTACCTGCCTACAAGAGATTTTAAAGTAATTGTCGGACACCCTGTATATATATTTATGTTTCCTTTTGTGTAAAATGTTTACACGTTAGTTTGAATTGGAATATAAATTTATTCCGCAATAAACATTCAACGTAAAGCTCTAATAATCGTTTTAATTCCGCGTTGTTAGTTTTATAAAAGTTAGTTTATAAAACTCATTAGTTTTTAATTTCAATAGTTCTTTTCGCTTCAAGTGAGTAATATTATGTAAAAACAATTTGGTGATATTCTTAGGAAGATAAAATTTGATGTAACGATTTGTCGGCTAGTTAATACTTAATAAATATAATAAATAAGCATACTAAACGTAATATATACCTGACATAAGTAATAAATAAACTAATTGTACATATATATGTATATATGTTCAGGAAATCACAAAACATAATATTCGTGCAGATATCATTTTATTTATTTTTTAACTACTTATACAGTGTTGTTAAGTTTAATATACCATTTTTCAATATCAACTATATTACCCAGCACTTTTAATACCAAATACTTCTACTAAATGCTACTTATACAGTTTACTTTAATATAGGTACTCCATTCTGTATCTGCATTTATAATGAAAAGTCGAGAAGCGACAATATATTGTTGTTTATTGCACACTCTATATATGGTTTTACCTCCTCGGGAGTACATTCTGAACCAGAACATTCTGCAACAAAGAACGAGAAAAAATTGTATAAAAGTATGTGTTAAAAACAGACATAAAATGTCGTACATTTAACAAGATCTCACATTGATATATATATTTAAAAAATAATAATGAGCAAAAACAACACAAATTCTATATTAAACAAATCAATACACATTAAATACATTCTACAAAAACATTTTCTCAAAGTAAGTAAAAAAAGTAATTTTATATTAAACAAATTAATACACATTAAAAAAAAATAGATTTTCTCAAGGTAGGTAAAAAAAGTAAGATCTATATAAAGATATATTAATTACCTAAATCAGTGCAATGTTTGACGATTGTTTGACATTTTAGTATCTTCTCACTATTTAAAAAAACTTGTGCGCAATATTGATATATACTACTTTTAGACAGTGTGCCTTCTGGAGTAATCTAGAATTAATATAAGAATTAAAAACTTACTCCGTATACTTGTTCGAAAAGAATTAAACAGATAAACTTACAGAAAAAAAACTATTCAGAAATCAAAATAATATAAGTTAATTTATTGTATGGTATACTGTTTTACGATTATAAAAAGTTTCATGTTTTTATTTGATTAGTAATTTATTTGAGTAGTAACTTAAATTATTTGTACTTTTGCAATTAAAGATTGTGTTGTTATCTGTTTCACATTACAATCATTGAAATCTTTTATTATCTTAAATGATTATGTAACGAAATATAATTAAATAGTCTTTTATAAACTCGGATATAAGTAAGGCACGCACCACACCATCTTTCTTAAATGCGCAGATGCTAGCATTGACCAAGTCATCATATTCATTTTCTACAACATATAAAGACATATAATATTTAATGATTAGGTCGGAGCTAAAATAATATTGATTACTCTTTGTGTGTATATGTATTGAAAGTACTTTGAATTAGTGACTACTGCATTGTTTGTGCTACACACTTCAGTGTATTACTATTATATATCTACTATTCTGTAAAGTTAACTCATCTTAGAATTATTAACTTTCAGTCACATATAATGTTCAGCACTTACTCGGAATGGGTTGAGAAATGTTAAGATTTTTTAGGGAATTTATATTTTTGTTTGACGTAATATTTTCGAAACAGGCTTCTACGCTGTCATAATATGCTGTAGGTCGCTTTGTCGAAAGTGCGTAAGCGTAAATGGCCATCTAAAATTAATGAAAGTATTGCACACAAATGATGTACTCACGAAAAAATAAAAGCATATTATCACTATTATTACGATACATATATTATGCACGTAAAAATAAGTACAATCACATTGCGCCGAGTTGTAAAACCAAGTAGATGTGATCAGATTTTGTCAGATCCAAAATGTGATTTATATGTGATCTGATCTAATTTAATTCAAAATTCAGATATGAGTATAAAGTTTTACACATACACACACATACATACATAAAAAATCATACATGATCATATGTTTCTATGTTTTTTCTCTATGAAATATATAATAATATTTTTGTCTTTTTTATTACATTATACTTAATTGAATATTGAAACAATTAATAAATTAAATAGTATGATTTAGGAGTCTTTGTGGCTTCGTATTGCAAAATATTCGGTAAACGGTTCACACTGCCTAATCTAAATCATAATTTAACAAGTTAACTTTATATCTACAGTTAGTACTACTTTGTGGTGACTCATAACGCAATGTAGAAATATCAAGTTAGTAAAGTAACATCTGCACGAATATAACGAAAACAAGAATTGAGTAATGATAGCAAACCTTTATAAACAAATTGAATGAAAAACTGTAGAGATGAAAATATACCAGCAAATGTGTTAAAAACTGACTTAAAAATATTAATTTTTACACGGTGTATAAATTTATATAACTCACCAAAACGCAAAACATAAATAAGAAAGTCTTCATTTTGGTGTTTTTCGATTAGTTTTATAGTACCTGTTTGATGCAAGAATTCGAGCACCACTATGTGGAAAATGAAAATCTCGATAGTATTTATACGCAAAAAATGATATATGTGTTACTGACAATGACGCAAAAAATAAAAAGACAAATGATGTATTTGTTACTAATAATAATGTATGAAGTAAAAAAAATTATCATGTACAGTACTCTCTATAAGTTTGAAAACACATTCTAATAATGTGTAATATAAGAAAAATACATATCAAATCGAATATATTTTAGTTTGTAAATACTCATTTAACTGAAAAATACAAAATTAAGATATGCGCGTACCTACATTATTCAACAGACTATTAAAATATGAAATTTTAATTAAAATTTAAGCTTCCTAAAGTAACCATTCTTTGTTTTTAATGATTGCCTTGCATACTTTTGGCATGCGGTAGATCAAATTTTGCAGAGATCCAGTCGTGAAATACGTTTTTATTCTTGCTAGAAGAATTTTTCAAAAGTGCGTTTCACCCGTAAGTCGCTCTTCGTGGATCCTTTTGTCTAACTTATCCCATAATAGTTCTGTTGAGTTACAATCTGGGAACTGGGGCGGTCATTTTATGAGTTTTAGAATTTTCGTCTTTTTTAGTGACTGCAAATAGTTGTTGCAAAGGTGCGATGTACGTTTCGTGGTGTTGTCTTGTTGTAATATAATATGATCTTTTTGATTTCAATCAGACGTAAATTAGGTGTCTTGGCATGTCACTGCAGGATGCTGTGATAATATTCTTTTTTTATTGTTCCCACTTCTTCCACTAAATCTTCAATCTTATTTTTTCTAAAACATTCCCAGTTTATCACAGAGTCACCTGTATGCTTTACAGTTAGTGCTTTGCATTGAAGTTTTATATGTTGCACGGACGGCATAAATTAACGGCGTTTACTACCAAATAGTTTGAGCTGATTTACCTCTAAATAAGAATTTTCCAGTCCTTTTCTATTCAAGCTTAAACTTTTTCAGCCCATTAAATCCTGTTTTTCTTATTAATAGTTGTTATAGCTGTTGTTTTGCACCTATCTCCTATTTAAGATTCTTAACCGCCAAGCGCTCCTTCATCGATCGTTGACATTGTTGATCTCAGTGAGGTTTACCAGAATTTCTTAAATTCAGAGGTCATATCACAAACGGGTTTGAATCGCGCTTACATGTTGCTACCAACAACTTGTCTAAACGATGTGACGCTTGCTTAAGCGTTCCAGAACGATGCCCATCATTATACAAGCTGTGTCTCAATACCGGTGAACGGTCTTGGCAACTTCACTTTCTGTGATATTTGCCGGATACTATGTCTTTCTTCTCGCAAAGTTATGATCTTAATTCGCGATTCATAAAAAATTTAATGCGTCAAAACTAATTTCGATTATTGTTGCAGGTTTTACAATTTTTGCGGAATCTGAAATCTACCTTCGATTCAAATAGCTTACCGTTTTTACAGAAATTGTAATTTAACTACACTCAAACGACTTACTGTTTTTCTGATGTATATTTACACCGCACGCAAGCACCACGTGGTAAAACAAGTAACAGTAGAAAAACGATAAACTAATAATTTGATGTCTCAAAATAAGTGTCTAATATGATTTCGGCATATAGACAAAAAACTTATAAGTTCTAAACCAAATTGTTTATCGTTATTTTAACATTTTACAACATATTACAAATCGAACGTCTTACAAACCGAAAACATGCACCAATCGCTGTCATGTCATTGTTGTTGCCTGTAAAACGCAGTGTTTCCAAAATTATGGGAGGTACCGTATGTGTTACTGATAATGATGTATGAAATAAAAAAAATGATCGATGTGTTACTAATAAAACAATAATTGTTGTTGAAAATAGAAGTTTTATTTTATTTTTAAGATTTGGGATCATATGTAACTAACTAATGTTGTGTATTGGTAATGTCGCGCTTTTCCTAATGTTCCTATACTCGAGGTGTGACGCGAGATGATTGAGAGATGACGGATGCAAAGCGCGACGACTGGATTACTTGCTGCTCCTTGTTGTTCATCACGAGGCGTAGGATAGTGAAGAAACGTGTACAAACCTGTGTACTTATTCTTTATAATAAATTGGTGCCGCTCACTTCCTTCTTTGAATTCACAAGCAAACGTACCAATTACCATTTTCTTTTTTAATATGTAGTCGTCAAAAAAAGTTATAACAATCCGATAAATATACTTTATTGTTCTCATCACTACAAATTATAACAAATTTAAATAATCGTTTGGAGTAGATACTATATAGATATATAGATAAGCAACTTTTATCCTAACATTATTTTGTAGATTTTATATTATATCAAGCGTAGAACTTGTAGATCAATTTTAATGACTGAACCGATCGTGTTGGGCTCAATCAATCGAGGTAAAACAAAAGTATAGAGCAGAGTATTCATACATGTTTTTGTACATTCTTTCTGAACAGAGATATTTTAATGTAAAGTTTTGAATGCGGAAAAACCATTCACAAACATCGTATAGAGTATACATGTCAGTAGGAAAGAAAATGTACTTTTCACGTGATTTTCACTAGATGGCTGTACGATCGCGCTGTTCTAATTATTATCTTGCATTAAGATTTATGAGATTGAATGTGTTGAAATATTGTGAACTTAAGAAGACACCGTATATGAGTACCTGTATCAAAATAATATGTATTCTTATTAGAATAATATAAGTAAAAATACCACAGAAGATATCTGCTTGTAAATTACATAATACTATGTTTTCCTCATTACACATTCTTGATCACGAACATTCTATTTAAAGAATCGACTGATGATATAAGTCTTATTTTGTAAAACTTAATTAATCTTAGAATTCTACTACTGATACACGCGATACGGTGATAAAACAAACTTAATGTTTTCGTGCAAATGCGCAAAATTGTGTTTGTGATAAGTTACATTCATTTTTTTGTTTAGATCATATAGGGGAAAGTGGGAAAATTGTGCGCGATTTGGGCAGTCGTGTGCGCTCTGGATTATTTAAATAATCAGCCATAATTCTGAACTTTTTTTAGTACTCCACTATGGCGGTTGGTTCTTGTAACTATGTCACACTACCTCGCACCAAATCTTTTGTGTGCCATTAGAAAAAAATGTTTGTTAATAGTGCTTTTGTTTGTTTCCTGTGATCTGAAGAAAAGACAGAAAGCCTCTAATTTTTACTTGTTTAGTTCCACATACATATAATCTTAAACGGGTTACCTTGAAATCACCGACAATCATTTCACCGACAATGTTTTCATCGACACGAATTCACCGACAATTATTTCACCGACAATGTTTATTTACCGACACATTAAAATCACCAACAATGTTTTCACCAACAATGATTTCACCGACAATGTTTTCACCAACAATAATTTCACCGACAATATATATATATTTTCTATCGCTATATATTGTTGTCAGCGATACGTTAAATTTTTATGTACACATTTATTTTCTCATATAAAGAAATATATATGAAAAAATTAATAAGGCGTAAATATTAAAAGTTATTGTATTTGCACTCTTACTTTATTAAACACCATAAGTGTTACATTAATAATTGGAAATGTCGGTAATTAAGAATAATAGATATTAAATAGATATTAACTAAATTATTACATTAATTATTGTCGGTGAAATCATTGTTGGTGAAAACATTGTCGGTGAAATCATTGTTGATGAAAACATTGTCGGTGAATTTGTGTCGATGAAAACATTGTCGGTGAAATGATTGTCGGTGATTTCAAGGTAACCCTTTTAAACAGCATTCTTTTTTGCAAATAAAACTGTCTTTTATATTTATTTTAGTCAATTAATATTCTGTATTTTAGAGAAAGTTTATTTTAAGTTATTCATTAACTTCGAGTCGGACAATAGACGCAGTCTATTAATACAAAAATTATAAAAAAATTATAAAAAGGAAATAAAAAAACGAGCAGACAATTACGTACAAGATTGACCGAACATCAACGTAATTTTTGTCAGGAGTATAAGCGACAGTCAGTGGTTAGCAGGCATCGTAGCGATCTAGACCACGAATTCGCATGGAGTGAGGTTCACATTCTTGAGAACGAACAATTTTACAACAAAAGACTTATCTCAGAAATGCTACATATAAAGATGCAAAAAAATGGCTTAAATCTGATGAAAGATACTGTGAACTTCTTGATCCTGCTTATACGCCTTTACTTATGAAACTTTGTAAATAAGCTCTTACTTGCGATCTCTCCTCCCTCTGTAGTTCATTATAAACATCTTATTTACTTACTGTTGTATATTATTACTTATTTGTATTTTGCCTGTCGCACAATGCGTTCGCGCTGTATCCGTTGTGTTTGTTGTGCTTGCGTGAGATTATCATGTGACTTCGGATTTTAATTTACCAATTATTTGTAGGTTTCTAATTTATGACTTAATTATCTATGACTCATATTATTTATTGTTTTTTTTAGTTTCTTGACGTACCTTTTGATATTTAAAAAATTTTTTAAGATAAATAATCATCGTTCATAATTTTACATTATCAATCTCATAACTTTTATTTTTTAAAGAATCCGAGACGTGGAGACAATTTGACATCAGCAAATTCTATTTCCTACAAGTCATGTTTTTTTCTCTCGCATGCTCACGTGTGCTAACGGCTTCTCAAGGTATGTTGACTTTGAATGTGTGTATGTTTGCGATTTACTTCAACATTGTTTATCACTTTTCAATAGCGTGCGCGTTTAAAGTTTATATTACTGTAATTAATTCTGTCAATTTCTATATTTCCTTATATTTTTATTTCTTTTTTATAATTTTTTATATAATTTTTGTATTTTTTTGTATTTTTTGTTCCGTCCAGCGATGCTGATGATGATCTAAAAAATAAAGATCGAAACGTTCCTCTGATCTTCGTTTGAATTCAATTTGACTTTATTTAAGCCACCTCAATCTTGGTTTCATAGCCGGAAAGTCTATTTCACTGGTTTAAAAAAAAACATTATTCAGATAGAAAGTTGATATAAA